AGGACTGGCTCTTCCAGGAGTCAGCAAACTTTTGAAACGAAATGTACCCAAAGAGACACATGTGGCTCGCGAGCCGCAGTTTGCCAACCTGTTAATAGATGAAAGCACTAAGGTTCACTGAGATTAATCAGTCCATGGTCACCACTGAAGTGTGAACCCAGGTGCAATTTGAGATCATATTTCCTCCTAACCACTGTCTCAAAGAATGATCAGTCATACTAACAAGATAAAATTTTGATGTAATCATTAAAGCTAAAAAAAAAAAAAAGAACACATATGCTTCTTACATTCCTGCCAATCTTGACTCACTCTCTCATTCTTGCCACCCCCGTTCAAGGCTGTCACCCAACCCTGCCAAGTGATAAAACCAAATACATTGATGCCACATCTGTGTCCTTTTACGCACATGTTCCTCTGGAGTTGGTATTTATCAAGATTATTTGGCTGACAATTGGGCCCTGTGGATGCAGTAACAAATCAACAGTCTTATTAAGAAATGACATAAATCTTATGTATATAGTACTTCAAGGTTTTCAAAACATTTTCTCTTCTAAGTCTCATGGTAATGCACCATTTTATATGATGGGGACCTGAAGCTCAGAAAGCCTAACTGAACTCTGTTGAGGGTACTATGACCTTTAAGGGACAGAGAAGAATTCACAACTACTTGACTTACAACTAGGGTCTGTAATTTTACCTGATCCCTAAAGCAAATGCACTGATTTAAAACATCTCTATGAAACACTTCCAAATGTAGCAGTACCATGTTGGGACATGTGTTCTACTCCCAGCTCTTGGCCCATAAGCAAGTCATTTGGCCTCAGCGGTAAAAGTAAGAGATCTCACCAGCTAATCAGCCTAACAATCTATGATTCAAGCTGTTAAGCACATTATCAACAAGAGTTCAAGTTTATCCTTGTTCATAAATGTTCAGAAAAGAGAAGTCTGTTCATGGGCTTCACTGTCTTATAGCTCCTGGGTTTCTCACGCTTTGGCTCATATTCTCCTTCAATAAGGCCCAGGAGTCCAGGAGTGTTCCTTGGAACCCTTAGAGCTTCAAGTATAAAAGATGACCTGGGGGTGACCAGTTAGCTCAGTTGGTTAGAGCATGGTGTTGATAACACCAAGGTTGCTGGTCGATCCCCCCATGGGCCACTGTGAGCTGCGACCTCCTTAAAAGAGTCAGCGATGCCACTGTAGCATGAAAGAAATGTGTAACCAATAACCATGGCTGTTTCCCAATAAAATGTTTTTAAAAAGAAAAAGAAAGATGGCCTGTCCTGCTCTCTATTCTGCTGTCCTATTGGATATACCCTTTCAAGACCATAGCAATGGTCAACTTCTAAAAAGATAACTCTTCTTGCTCCCATTTCTACCTCTGGTTTCTCCAGCTCTCGCCTTATGTCCAGCACTATCTGTTAAAACACTTCCCCAGTAAGTCCTAACGCCAAACTCCCCACCTGTACCTCCCTCTCTTCCCATTCCTCCCCACCGAAGAGCTATTTTTTTAATAAGATTTTATTGGGGAGTTAGGGGAGGGGAACGGACAAGTTGCTGTCGTTTTGTTCTTCAGTCTAGTTGTGGAGGACGTTGCTTCACTGGCCCATGTTGGTGTTATGATTGCGCTCTTCTTGGGTGAGGCAGATCGGTCACTGGCCTCTGGACGGTCGCTCACGGCGGCTCTTGGCAGCTCACAGCGGCTGCTGGCCGCTCACGCTGGCTGCCAGCCACACACGGTAACTTATGGCAGCCCACTGCAGCTTCACCACAGCCTATGCCGTCACCGGCGACTCACGGCAGCCCAGCTCCAGGTCAAGCTGTTGTTCAGCATCTTAGCTGTAGAGGGCAGTGTCACTGGCCCTCATGTGGGATCTGAACTGGGGCCCTGCTGCCCAAGCCAACTCCTAACCAACGGGACACTCAGCCGGCCCACGAGCTATCTTTTTTGACCTCTCTACCTGTTTTCCTGGAAACCTTAGTCAAACTCCTCATCGACCACTTCTCTCCAACAGAAACTTTCCACTGACCTTGCCTGAGCACGCCTTGGATTTTCCTACCTCCATGCCTTTGCAGATCTCCTAGTAATTACCTCCACATCTTGATTCTCTCCTCACCTGAGGCCTTCCCAGACCACCACACTGTAGTCAAGCCTTCTTCAAAAATTCTTCCAAACTCTCACCAAGCAGTCTCTGAACACCTAAATCCTTAAGACTGCACCAATGCTGATATTTTTAATGTTTAACTTTACTTATGGACTCCACTATAAGTGTATTAATGAATGACATCTACTTTAAATGAATGGCAATATTTTTCATTTAACAGAGCATTTTGACGAAACTTCTTATTTGCCCCTCCAAATAATCCTAAAGCTACTTCTCTAGTTTAAAAAACCATCTATGAAAGTCAGGGAAGTTAAGTGATTGTCCATCATCACAAAGCTATGAAGCTTCAGAGCCAGGACTCAAATCTGGTCATTGAGATGTTTCCTTTGAGTTCTGTATATAGCATGTCTATGATTTGAATCTCTCAGACAAATATAAGGTACCAAATAAAAACCTGAACTATCTTGTCTGGGAAGTACTGAAGTTAATTAAAATTTTCCTTCCCAGTTCAATTTCTCTTGGTCCTTCAGGGTGATCTTACTGTTGACCCAGACTTGCAAACTGGCTCAAACACAATATTAGCACTTAGTTTTATAGAATATACAGGAAGAAAAGAATAAAACTCTTAACAAAAGCAAGTATAAGAAAGATAGCCCTGGAAGGAAAAGAACATACATTTTCTTCTGATGAAAATAAATCAAGCCAATGAATCACACAAAAGTTCTAACTAGCACAGGGCTGAGTATACTAATGGTAAACTGACCACCTATTTTCAAATACACAGGCAGCAGCCAGGACCAAAAAAAAAAAGCCCCCGTTTTGGCAGAATACTTGTAAGGAAGGAAAAAAACAAATTTACTGCTATGTATCTATTATTTGATTTGTTTTTGGACTATCCAAGCTAGTAGCTTTGATTAGCATTAGTTTTTTTTCCAGCCAAAAAGGAACGATAAAGTATTACCCAAAAAACAAGAGTCAAATATCTTTCATATATATATATATATATATATATATATATATATACACACACACACACACACACACACACACACACACACACACACACACACATAAATACTCCTGCTATCTAAGAGCACTCGTATTTCGTTGAGGCAAGCTCTGGAGGTGGTAACAAATTACCCCCAGATGTGAAATCCAGGCTATGGTCAAGTTCAACTGGGAAGCAGAACAACCCCAGTTTGCTTCTACATTTGGAACCAACCAATAAACATTAGTGATCATAATCTCTGGCTTCCTATTCTTCCTTATGAATCACAGAATTATTTTAGACATTTTAAATCTAGTCCAAAACTTCTCATGTTGTAGATGAAGAATCGAGGGCCAGATACTGAAAAGCAAAACAGAAAATAAATTATATTCACAGAAAACTTTCTCAGCAAAACATCACAGGCTCGGAATGGAATACTTTGTTTTTACTGTGGCTTCCTGAGACTGTGGCTGAAGGTAGAGAGGGAAAAACAGCCTCAACCTTTAAAAAAAAACAACCTTGCAAACAAAAACAAAAAACCCCACATGTCCAGCATTCACCTAACAAGCTCCATAGGTTTGAAGGGTCTGTCATGAGGGTTCATTCAATCCAGCTACGTAGCTCAAAGCCACAAATCACTAACCCAACTTTGTAGTCACCATTACAACAATAAAAAAAAAACCTGCCTAGAACTGACTGAAATCGACCAGCGTGTTCCTCAAGCCCCATTACTCCCCAATCCCACCCACATAAAGATCAGTGAGGCCACACACACGTTTTCACTAAGTTTTTTAAAAGATTAAAAGATGCAACAGAAACACTGGTGACAAAGGGAGAGAAAGGGAACTAAAAATTTTTGGAAATTTATGAATGCAGTATCTATTTCACATTATTTTTGGAGCCATTGACACACGGCCCTTTGCAAGAAAAGATGTATTTTTAATTACATGTCAAATTTGATGGTTTTGTCTAGCTTAATATTAGCTTCTAATCATATAAAACATCTGAGCATCAATTCTCCAGTCTCAAAACAATTCAATTTCTGTAAAGACTGAGGGGAGGGGTAGATAGGAAGGGAGGGAAGAAGGGAAACGTTACCCTCCTGTTCTGACCGCTACAACTCGCTGTTAAGCAACGCCCTTTGTGTGAGGATCGCACAAGGGTAAAAGGTAAACTAGGACCAAGTTAGGGAGCACAGTGTCTGCAGTCACCCACCGAGAATCCAAAGCTTGTTGGCAAGAGCTGATTGGAAAACAGAAGGAAGTGTTAATAGCCTCTGTGAACCTGACATGAAAGATCAGATCAAAATAGCAGGATGGAGAGACTATTATTATTGCTATTATTACAAAAAGAAAATGGCATTAGAAATTGAACAGAAGAATAAGCCTTCTTCCCATTATTTCCATAATTAGTGGAATCAAATTTCTAATTAAAAATCATTATGCACAGAGCTAAATATTTGAATCAGCAGAGAAATCACCCAATTGTTACACTGCATTCTCTTTGAGCCATTTGCCCTACCTGGCTAGCTCTCCACCCTCACCCCAACCAAACCTCAGAAAAAGACTAACCTTTGCCCAGATAAATATACCTCCTCAAATCTGCTGATACTTCCAACTGAAATACCCAGTGCATAAGTCATTTTAACAACCCTTCCAGGTGGAAGGTCTGGTCACTAAGCTGCTCGGGTGTAGAACCCTCATGAGGATTTTGCTCATTCTGCTCAACCAGGACCAAGAAGTAGATCCTACAGAATTTCTATTCCTTGACCCCAGAACAAATGGATGAAACGGGACTCAAAAGTAAATGAACTAGAGGGTGATGGTGCAAGTGCCAGGGAAGGTAGTAAGAAGAGAGGCTGGGCCCTGGAATAAATGAGGCAGTTACAAAGTTCAGGGGCAGTTAAAGACTTTCAGATTTCTGGGTGTGATAAAGATCCACAACAGGCTAAGAGCCGCAGCTCCCTGAAGCCTCCAAAAGGCACATTCAGTACTGTCAGCATGGACTCGGCCCTGCCAGCACCAGCAAACAAACACACACATTCTTCTCAAAGCTGACACCCCATTCCACATGGCCTCTCTATGGGGCCTGTTTATTTAAGAAACCAGATGCTTTGATGTTGGGGTAGAAGTTGGTAAGTAATGTGTAATGTGTAGTGACAGGAGCAAAGGGAGGACAGAGAATGAACAATAGTTCCTGGCTTTATTAATCATAAGTTTAAAAGTTTTAAGGAAATTGTCAAATGGTCTGAAAACAGGAACGAGAAGTAAGGAAATTATGTCAGCCACACCGTAACTCTGGCCAAAGCATTTCATCTGTTTCTTTAAGACAGAGTTTCATGCCTAACCTCAAAGGGGTGCTTATAGGAGGAATGTTTTGAAGCAATCCAACTTAGCAACCAACATTAATAGAATCTTCTAGGCTTACTCAATTCCTCTCATGTACAAAGGTTATACATGGCATGAAGGAAAGCACTTAAAGGAAAGAATCAGTTAAGAGTGTGGCATGAAACAGCTTGGGGTAAAAGGCAAAAGGAAGGTTATTTATTGAGTGTAAGAAAAGAGCATTTCATAAATACACATGCATACTGCTGGATTTCATGAGTGAAGAAGCCTGAATTATATAAGTCATTAGGGCACAGGTCGCCTTAACCTGAGGAATAGAAAAGCACTATCATTTTGCTTTATGACTTTTTTTTTTTTTTGGTTTTCTTAACATTAGTTAAATGCCAATAAATTCTCACAAGCCAAATAAGCCATAGAAATGGATTTAGGAGATTTGCTAAAACCTTCTGAGGCTTTTCATTCTCCAGTCTGAGTTACCTTTTCTTTGTGTCTTGGCATCCCAGCATCTGGAGGGTGGGTATTCACATACATTATGAATCAATGTGGTTTGACATGGACAGCAAGTTATAACAAATAAGAAGAGAACCAGAAACTTTTGATTTTTCCTGAGAACTGAATCCTGTCATCTTACAAAAAAATACTCTAAATGGCACTTTCCCAAAGTATACAAAAGTATCCAATATCTCCAATAAAAACAGGTTCTATCATGCTGATACTTTTATTTCACACTGTTCATAAAGGGTCCTAAAATACTATATAGATCTCTTCAGTATAGTTCAGAATGATTTATGATGACTTTTAAAAATACGTAACTGAAAAGCAGAACAAGTTACTACATGACAATTCGTGGTTAAGATAGTGGACCTCTCTAAGGACCGCTTTACTCAACCACTTCTAAGGTGAAGATCATTAACAATAGTTCCACTTTAACCACATCTTCATGTTCTAAAAAGGATGGGATCTCTGAAGACGAAATCGTGATTAACAAATACAAAAGTAGTGCCTTAAAATTATGTCACTGGAAGAACACTGAAAAAATAAGGTAAGCTAAAAAAAAATAATTGGGAACATTAGCTAAATAAAATGAAAGAAATCAGGAGAAGAAGACTCTTTACATATGGACTTTAAAGAACAAGGTTTCTGATGTGCCGTTGAGTAGATTTGGCCTAAGAACCCCCTGAGCCAGTTTTATCAACCTCTTGCTATAGAAATCAATATATTACAAATGATATATCAATGCTAACCAACCAGGGAAGACTCCGACTAAAGGAATGAATCCAAAAGCAGCAGCAGATCCTAAAGGTATATCAACCAGGAAGAGAGGAATCTGAAATATGGGGTAAGAATGCTGTGTCCAGCTGGCTCAAGGAAGGAAGTAGTCCTGTTATAAATTAAGCATCAGTGTTGTAAAGCCTTTCTCAACTCCCCACTGTGAGGTGGAAGTCTACACAATTTATTTCCCCCCTCGTCAAACAGGAAAACTTTCCAGTACTCATTCATACCACCCTACCTGCACCCAACCTGCCCCACCCGCCAGCGCTAGCTTGGCCAACTTGAAGCAACTGCTGCTTGGACTGACTCCTTGTGCCTTGACTGCAGTTGCCCTGGGACCCATATCTGAGAATTCTGCACAGGTACAGGTATAGTCAGTCCCAGCAGAGGGAGAAAGACAGTTCAAGGGGAGACTGAGATTCAGCTGATGCAAATGTGGCTGTTCAAGGACAAGTGCAGTTAGCCATTCATCTCTATCCCCAGGTGCAACTCTCTTTGCAAGAGGAAGGGATATATAACAGAGAATATATATTGAAATTGAAAATACGTTAGGCAAATGTGGGTAGCAATAATTAAATCGTTAATTCTAGAAAAAAACACGTGGAAGGTGCCCAAGTTGCACTGGAGCCAGGAGCCAGAACACGCCAATTGGCTATGTCAATCTAGTAGTGCCCAAAGGTTGAGCTGCTTGTCACCAGGGATGGAACTCCGCAATTTTAAGTTTCCGACTAGGACCCAGCTCAAAGCAGAGTGTCTGCAATGTGTTCCTTAACAGTTGGAAACCTTGTTACAGGACACAAACTTCCCTGTCAGAGTCCGATGCCACCATAGAAGGTCAAATTGAAGGCGTTTTAAAGAGAGAGAACGTATATACTGCCACCCCATTTCCACGCTGGCTCCTTGACCTATGCAAACACACAGGGTAACCGCACTACTGCGCTGGGAATTCTGAACGCCCCCCTACCCACGCTTTCAGTACTGACCCAGAGAACACACCTTTGCTTCTCTGCAGCCAAACTTCTGCAAACACTTCAGAGGTAACTATTCCTCCACCTTCCCGGTGAGTTACAGCGTTACTGGGTCCCGATTATTTACACAGGCGGAAAACAACGACGCTCAAGAGATTTTGACAACTTGAAAAAAAGAATGCCGTGAAAGGCTAAGCCGGCCTCCCCTGTGACGAAAGGGCCGCGCGAACCGCGGCGTCCCGGGGCC